CTGGAACAGGCTGCCCAGAGAGGTTGTGGAGTCTCCTTCTCTGGAGATCTTCAAACCCACTTGGACGCAGCCCTGTGCCACGTGCTCTAGGTGACCCTGCGTGTGCAGGGGGTTGGACTAGATGACCTCTAGAGGTCCCTTCCAACCTTAAGCATTCTGTGATTCTATGATTCTGCGTGGGGCAGAGCACGGGCACCCACCTGAGCTCCACAAAGCCGCCCAGCAGCGCCAGGGAGATGAAGTCCTTGCCGCGGTTCTGCCCGTTGTAGAGGAGCAGCCCGCTCTGCTCGGCGGCCCGGAACTCCATGGCGATGCGCACGGTGTGGTACGCCTTCATCATCTTGAAGGCCAGGTAGGACTTGCCACCAAAGCTGGGGATGAAGTACCTGATGGCTGCGAGAGAGAAAGGAAGAGTGGGTGAAGCCGAGGTGGGACAGGACACCAGAAAAGACAACAAGCTCGTAGGTTTTTCAGGAAAAACAACTGTCACAACCAGCTAGAGCCTCCAGCATGACACTAACTTGCCATGGTGGGGGGACAGGCCAGCAGAGCATGGGGGACTAGGCCTGAATTAGCAGCTCACATGCCCTTGTGTTTGAGAACACAGTTAGCAATTATATCTGTGTCAAATTAACCAGCACTCCCTGGCTTTAGGGATGGAGAGCAGCACAGTACTCAGCTGAAATAAGAAAGCTCAGGATTCCCATGCTTCAGGGCACTGGAATAAGTGTGGCCAGGAAGAAATTGCTCCTGACACCTTCTTGCCGTAGAGCCCTGCAGCTCTATGCACTGTGCACGTGCAAGCTGTTCTTCACAGAGGCAAGAAAACAGGTTAAATGGAGTGCCTGAGGTGTGTGCATTGGGGCCAGCACCTCGTATGGGGCTGGGTTTGGGGCTGCCTCTACATCCCCACGCAGCCAGTGCAGATTCCTGGAGCACAGACATGGAAGGGGTCCACAGAGGGAAGACCAATCTGTTCTTGCTAGCTGCACTTAGCAGATGCTTGGAGAAAACACACATGAAGATGCAACTCTGCAGTGCCACTAGAGCCTGTATCTGGAAGCAGCAGCTCAAAGGGATGCGTTTCCCTCGACTTTGCCATCCTTGCTTTTGGTCTTCCCCATCCCATGGCCACAAGCTGCCACCACCGATGCGCAGGAGCACCGTGGATGCGATGGACCACGTACATTTCTCACAGACGGCTCCTCCTTTGCCCGCGGGGCAGCTGCAGGTGAACTCCCTGCCATCGTCCTCGCAGGTGCCACCGTGCAAGCAGGGGTGCGAGTCGCAGGGCC